TGGGTGTTGTCTGCCCCTCAGAGCCTAGAGTCCCACCCAGCGTAGGAGTGTCCTAGGCATTGGGGGGCATGGTGAGCCAGCTGCACTGGGAAAATCCCTAGATGGTGCATCCCACCTGGTGGGACTAGGTGAGGATGTGAATGACCGTGACCAGGATGCCCAGCTCCTGGAGTTTCTACTGCTGGGGGGGAGCATGTCCTCCAGTCCCTGCTGGCATAGGAGGTGGGGGCATGGCTGTGGGTATCCCAGGAGGGAGGGCTCCAGGAGGCGACACTGGAGGTGGGAAGGAGCCAGGAGGAGGCATGCCTGGTGGGGGAAGCCCAGAATCCAGGGATGAAACCACAGGATTGGGGACACAGGGTGGAGGGGGTGTATCTGCAAATAGCTGATGAGGGCAGTCAGCCTGGGATAGTGGGTTCTGGGCTGCTAGAAGTCGTTCAGCTGCTGAGCCATGACACTTGCCCATAGAGTCCTTCTTGAAGGCATAAGACACAGTGATAGGGTGATTACGCAGTTATGGCTCATTCATGGCTACAGTTGCTGTACCCAAAGCATCAAATGAAGCAAAAATAATGAAGGCATAACTCTTGGAGTTGTCTGTCCCAGGGTCCTGCATAGTCTTGGGGATTTGTAAGATGACCCCAAAGATGTTGAATGAATCATAAAGCAGCTTCTCATAGATTTCTGGGTGCAGGTTCCCAATGAAAATGTTGGCTCCCACATTCATGTTTTTGTTGTGAGCTGAAGCCTTTGCCCACTCCTATCAGCTTCCCGTAGAGTCTGATCATACTCATAATCTTAGTGCATAAGCAGCATCTTCCTCACTCAAGAATTCAACAAAGCCATAGCCTTGGTGCTTCATCAAAATGTAACTTCAGTCAGATTACATTTCTGTTAAAAACCCTCTTGAGCTTCCTATTCCTCGTAGATGAAAGCCAAATCAGAATATTCTAGACAGTCCTGCATTACTATGAAGTAAACTCTACTATGCACAAGAATCATTTTCAAATCTTGTGACAAAGGTCCACTTTCAGAGGACTTGTGTGGGGCCGAGAGTCTGTGTTTATCATCAAATCTGGCGGGAGGGGGGGCTCTTGCTGTCACCTCAGAGGGCCGTGCTTTAAGGAGCAAGACCCCGTGTGGCTTCCTCCACTTCACCTCTTGATCCTCTAACTCTCTGCTCTCGATGAATCTCTATTACAGATGCTTGAGGTTTACTTCACCAGGTCACATTCCCCTTCATAGTCTAGGAAAATCCAGACATTGCCCACCTTGGAACCTTTGCACTGGCTGACTGTCTAAAAATATTTTGCCTAGAAACACACCACTGCTTCTCAATCTCTCTCTCTGTCTCTCTTTGTCAGTTTCTCTGTCTCCCTTGGCCCCAACACACTGCTTCAAGTTTTTATTCCAGTGTCTCCTTCACAGTGAAGTCTTCCTTGGTTACCAGAACTAAGGAGTGGAATAACAGCTTGTCCACACTCCAAAGCTCTGCACTTTCTTTCTCTTTAACTTTCCTCACTCCTGAACACACAATAGTTTTTTTTTCTTTATTGTCTGCCTCCCTTGCTAGAAGGTTAACTCCAGGGAAGTATTTGTTCCCATTTCTCTTCACCACTGTGACAACTGCCTGATACACAGAAAGTACTCAAAAATAACCGTTCACTTCCTGAAAAAAAATTCTCAGTTGCATTTCCCAAATCATATCTTTTGAATACTTATGCAAAAATCCCCAGGCAGAACACAGCAACATATTAGCTTTAGTTTAATTAGGATGGCTCAGTCCATGTGACTGCTTTACAAGAATATGAACTCTCCACTTACTGTTTGTTTACACAGATGTCTCCAGCACAACAGAACAAAGATACCTGAGGGAATCAGGTTATGCCTTCCAGGAGGGGAAACTGGTGGCTCAATTAAGAACAAGTAGCGCCCAAGACATTAATGAGATCTATTCAAAGTTATAGATTGTGAGGACTGTTCTTCCCAGTGACGCGGGCTTCTCTGTGAGGCAGTTACTGCAGATATGGATTCCTGTTAGAGATACAGCTGAAGAACTTTTTTTTCTTTTTTCTTTTTCCTGCCTCCACAAATTAGAAACCAGTGACAGAGAACAGGAAGCAGCTATGTGAGCTGTGCAAGCCCAGCTTCTGGACAAAGAACCCACAGTCAGGCTTTGTGTCTTATAGGTCTGGATTTCAAAACCTTCGATGAACTTCGACAGATCAAGAAGGTTATTGTTCAGTGGTTGATTTTCCTTTTTTAGTAAAACTTGCCTTAAACCTTACAAACTGAACCCAAATACACTTTATTATTACTGCCTATCCTGTAACCAGTCAATTTTCAGCTGCTTCCAATTTGGGGAAAGAAATCTACAAATGCATTTGGCACAGGCTTGCTTATTCATCATGTCAGTCCTCATTACCCTTCCATCAAAGGTAGAAGACACGTCTCAGGACTGGACTTCCTCTGTTCAATTGACTAACTTTCCTAATCAGCCAACTCTCAGGAAATAGAAATTGCTTTCTACTTCTCATACTGTGCTTTCTTTTTTTTTAATTATGCCACAATTATAAATTAAAGGAGGAAGTAGTAAATGATAGGGTTTTGTAGCTACAAATTCTTCATGTGTCCATTCTCTAGTTAATCTTCCAAACTATCTTAAAAGTTAGGTTTCTGCCTCTGCTCATATTCTTTATTGAAGCTTTACATATGCCATATTATTACATCTTTATTATTTATGTATTTTTAGGTTTTGGAGATGGAATCTTGCTATGTACCCTAGACTGGTCTAGAATTCACAATTCTCTTGCTTCAGTCTCCCAAATGCTGGGATTACAGAAGAAAATCAACATGAGTGACTTTATTTAATGTTGACAAAACCTGTGTAAGCTAGGAATTCTTATCATCATGATGAAACTCTCAAGGCCCAGGGAGATTCTAAAATATATGTGCCTATTTACAGAATTTATTTTAAAAGTCAAACTATCCTCAAATCCAGGATGCGAGAACTTCTCAGCCCACGTTTTTTTCTTCCACTGGGATTATTATTGTCAATTAGTGAAGTGAGACATTGAGAAAAAACTATGAACTGTACATTGTCTCTTCACCCTATTAAAAAAAAATCTCATGATATCTATCATCATTTAAATCATGTTTTATATCTCTTTTGTCTTCTTTACCAGACTCCAGCTCATGAGCCCAGTGACCTTTTCTCTAATGCTGAACAAATCTCTACTTCATATCTAGGGGACTGGTACACAGCTAGTATTTAGCAAATATTTTTCACTGATGCATGGGTGAATACATCTGTTTGTCTTAAAATACTTTTTTGAGATTATATATTTCTGATGAAAGAAAATGTACTCTCTCTGGGCAGCTTTCCCTACTGAAATGTAGTACAATTACAAAATAAGAATTTTTATCTATACTAATCTTCAAAAATAATATTTCTGTTTTTCTGCAGTAGGAAGTGATGCTGGGGGAAATGACTGATGGCCTCATCTGCACTGAACACACACTCCTGTGTGAAAGTACTTCTTCTGGCCTGTAAGATTCATTTTTGGTGGTCAATAATATGAAGGAAAACTATTTCTTCCAACCCTTTAAAAGACTAATTAGAAGTTCAAATTAACTCACATTCTATGCGTACCTACATGATAAACCCAAAACATCCACCCTTTCTTCCTTCCCTCAATATACATGCTTAACCACACACTGGTCCACGGTCCACTCCTAGCCTTCTACTCTGTTGATGCCGTGTTAATCTTCCAGGAGCCAAGGGTCCTTTTGACGAAGACAAGAAAAGTCATATTTCCAATCAACGCTTTGGCCTTTAGATTTGGCCAACGCTTTGGATTTATATAATGAGGGCAAAGACATCAGACAATTCTCTGAATAGATCAAGATCATGTACTTCCTTCCTTAAAGGCTACTCCTGACATGCTAAGAATGTTCACATTCTCATAAGCATTGTTAATATTTGTAAAGAAGATGACATAATCAGCATCTGTTCTCAAGACAATGACACCAATATGGCCTCAGCAAAGATGATTTAGGTTGATCCCAGAGGCTGAGAGCCGTACCAGAACAAGAATAATAAAATCCTTCTCCAGCAGTGTGCTTGCCTTCTGAGCAGGAAGCTCAGACTTGGAGTCAGAACTATTCTGATATAGAAGGTCATAAAGAAAAAGTGAGCATTACTCTTTCTGTTATTGATATTCATTCATTTTTTTGTTTTTTCATTTGTTTATTCAATGATTACCTAATGAATGCCAACCACAGTAAACCACCGGTTATAATTTTAAGCAAAAAATTACCCAGTTCTTTCATGGAGGCTATTGGGAGCTGAATTGCTTGTGCATGTTTGCAAATAAACTACATCCAGAATGAAGAATAGCTCTTAATTTTTTTTTTTTTTGCAAATGTGTAAAAGCCTTTCTAAGCCTTTTAAATATATCTACTTCTAAATGATGGTTATAGAAAAATAAGCAGATAAAGATTTTCACCTTGGAAAACAGAATCAGTCATTCACAGGAATTGTATTTATTGACAAGATTAAACTTTTCTTCCAAATAGCTTTAGATAATCACAAGTAAAGATAAAGTTTTAGTCTTATAAGCAAATGCCGTGTAGAAAGCACCGTGAGTCATTTAAATGAATTGGATAACATGAATGGGATTTGGAATGGGATTTGGGAAAACTTATTTAGTCACCATGTTTGTAAGTCCTTAATCCTTTTCTAAACAAAATGACAGCATCAGCTTTTAGTTTTGGATTTCCAAGGGAAAGCCATTTCCAAGGGAAAGACATCACAGGGGACCTAGTAATTTCTCTATGAGAATATGAGTTGCATGAGACCTTCTTTAAAACAATAAAAATATAATTTACCTGAAAATTCATTGTCAGAATTATAATAAAAGAGAAAGAAAGAAATGTCAACTTAGCCATGACCATGTTGAAGACAATCTGCTAAGGACTATGAATGAAGTGCATGGTACCTTTTGGATGCCTGCTTGGGACTCCAGAACGTTGTTCTCTGACCCATTGCTTCGGTTGATCATTCTCCACATCTGGGAATACATGCTGTCCCTCTCAAAAGGATTCAGCCCCTTCATGCGGACATGCTGATACACTGCGGAGTCCAAGACTGTGCCGTAAGGGATATCTGTTTGCTTGGACAGATCCTGAAGAGACCTTGGTTATTGGGAGAGAAGAGAGACATAAGAAAGAGTGCTGAGTATTGTTACATAGAAATACAGCTGAAGGAACAAAAGGGCCATTCACCCAAAGCTAGACACCAAACAACTTTTCTTAACCTCTCGGTTCTTAATATTGAAATGTAATGCTTAAGGAGAACTGCTTTAAGTTACATATGACAAATTATCAAGATACAACATCATTAGCAAAGTGAAGGTGAAGGTTTTAGTACTAATGCTTTCGTTGTGTGTAGAGGCTTCATGGGGGAAAATGGAGCTATCTCATCAAAGTAGAGGCAAATTAGTAGTGACAAATTAACTTGTTCGTCTGTCTCCCTCTGTGACAAGGCTTTAAAGCTTTTATAACATAATTGTGTTTTACATAAACAGCATGTTTTGAAGTCTAGTAAATATGTAAAATCTAGTATTTATGATACTCATTACTACATGGATAATATATAATGACAAGCAAGTGACATATATTATCCACACTGGAATGCCTTACATTCAGAACTATTTCACCCAAGTTCCAGATAAGATGGGTTATGAGATTAAATGGGCAGTGTGACATAGCCAATGAGGAACAGAGCCGGGATTCAAATACAGGGCATGAGACCCTGAAGGTCATGTTTCCACTTGAAGGTGCTGGTGTTTCTCTGTTTCCTTGGTTATATTTTATCTAGGGTATGTGAGTGTATGTGTGTGTGTGTGTGTGTGTGTGTGTGTGTGTGTGTGTGTGTTTGTGTGTGTGTGTGTGTGTGTGTGTGTGTGTGTGTGTGTGTGTGTGTGTGTGTGCAGATAACTGGGAAAGGAAGAAGAGGAAGAGGGTGCTCAGAGCAAGGAAATAGAGAGACAAAGACAGTCAAAAGACTGCTCTGGTTAAATTCAGATGGGACACATTTCATACTGAATATATTTTCAGTTTTTATGATAATACTCCAGAATTTCAAAACAATCTTTGAGCTAGAAATAGTATTTCTTTGTCTAAGGTTGCATGGCTAGTTTCCTTGATTTTTTTTTTTAAAGAAAAATCTATTTTTTATTTCCAGGTAAGATTGTAGAATAGAAGCCAAGTAAATCCAGTGGCTGATTATAGTTTGGGAACTACAGGGAACAGGAATGCTTAATCACTCCATCTGCTACTTCTCCAAATCCTGGGTTTGACTTGATCATCACTCAAACTATCCTCACCCTTGTTCCTTCCCCTTCATTGTGTCTTTCTAACAGTGTGCAACAGCCGACTCTCTCACCTCTGTAAACACCCCATCTTTCCTATAAACAGGACTTCAGGAGGCCAGCAGTGGCTGCCTTCCTAAATCAAGACTTAGGGTGAGAGAGCTGTCAAGCCCTGGGTGCACCCCAAAATGCAGCTTGCTTTAATCAGACAATCATGGATTTGGTCTTTTCTCCTTGCAGTTCTTGGTTTAACAGAATACACCCCTTCTTCCATTGGACCAAACAACATTCTCTACATTTAGAAGACTGATTGAAAATATCTTCCATCACCATAGTGGTATCTCCCCTCAGGCAAATGGAGATAAAAGACTCTTACCAGAAAATCTACAAAGGTGGATTGGTAAGGATTTCATAGAAGGGGTTCCCAGTGAATGCTGCCATGGGTGTTATTGGTGCCAGAACAGGAAAGATGAAGCTGTAACTTTGAAGGTTACCACAAACTCTGAATAGAACCTTGGGTACCACACAGCCATCAACACTGTGGGAACACAGCAACTTGGACTGGGCAGACATTGTTTGGGCTATCCACAGCCTGCAGAACAAAGTTTAAAAAAAACTCCATGTACAAGTAGAGCCGGTAACTCACATGAAAATGATGGACCCTTTAAAAGCAACAGAAGCATAGTCTAGGGGCCAGTAGTGGTCAGTATTGATCATCACAATTTACATCAAAGGACAAAATAGTTTGGTTTAGAGGACAGAACCCTTCTTTCTGCTGCCTCCAAGAAATGTACCTTATGGTAAAAAGAAGGGAAAAGGACTCTGAGCAAAGGAAACCAGGAAGCAATCAAGTGCTGCTGTTCTAACATCTGGCAAAACAGATTTCAAACCAATTCTTATCAGGAGAGATAAAGAGAGTTACTTCATACTCATTGAAAGGGATTGATCCATCAGAAAAATTATAATTCTAAATAAATATATATGTACAAATTATAGGCTCATCCAACTTCTTAAAGCAAACACCACAAGATTAAAAATAATGGATTAATCCAAACAAAATAATAGTGAATGACTTCAATATCTCACTCTCGGCATTTGACAGATCAACTGTCCAAAAGATGAATGAAGAAACACTGGAATTAAATAGCATCATAGATCAAATGGACCTAACAGACATCTATAGAACATTCCACCCAAATGCTAAAAAATGTACATTCTCTTCAGCACCCCATGGAACTTTCTTTAAAAGAGATCACATACTAGAATAAAAAGAAAATCTCGGCAAACAGAAAAATTGAAACTATCACCTGTATTCTGACCACAATGCGATGATAAAACTAGATGTGAATGGCAAGAGAAACCGTATAAAGTACATAAATTCATGGAGAGTAAACAACATAGAACTTAGTGATGATGGATCATTTAGAAATTAAGAAGGAAAATTTTCAAAGTTCCCAGAATATCACTAGAATTAAGTAACAATATAAACACAATGTATCCAAAGCTGGGAGAGAAGTGAAAGTTATCTTAACAAGGAAGTTTATAAGTATAAGTGCTCACATTAAAAATTTAGAGAGATCCCAAATAATCAACTTGATAAAGAATCATAAAAATTAGAGAAACAGTAACAAACCAATCCCAAAGGAAGTACATGGAGAAAACCAGTGAAGATTAAGGTTGAGATTAAGGAAATATAAATTTTAAAAATGAAAAGAATCAGTAGAACAGATTTTGTTCTTTGAAATGTAGAAAAAGAATCACAAACTTAGCCAGTTTAACAAAAAGAAAGAGAAGACCCAAATTAACAAAATTCGAGATTGAAAGGAAAACATGACAATAGACACTGAAGACATTCATACAATAGTGAGAACATACTTCAAAAAGTCATATTCCATTAAAGTGGAAAAATCTAAAAGAAGTAAGTGGATTTCCAGATGTATAATACCTACTGAAGTTTAGTCAATGTAAAGTAAATAACTTAGATCTTTAAAAATCAATGAGATTGAAGCAATAATTAACAGTCTCTGAACTAAGAAGAAAAAACCTAGGGCTTGGATTCAGTACAGAATTCTACCAAATGTTCAAAGAAAAAAAAACTAACACCAATAATCTTCATATTATTTCATAAATTAGAAATGGAAGTAACAGTTACAAACTATTTGTAGAAGCCAGAATCACCAACAAAATACAAAGATCCAACAATAGCTCCAAGGAAGGGATTTATCAGCCAAACTCCTTAGTGAACATGGGCTTAAAAATTCTCCATGAGAATTCAATGAAAATGAATGTACTACACACTCAAACTTATGGGACACTATGAAATCAGTGCAAAGAGGAAAATTCATAGCATTAAATGACCACATAAAGAAGTTGGAGAAATGTCACACTAGCAGCTTAATAGCACACCTAAAATCTCTAGAACAAAAAGAAGAAAACTCACCCAGGAGGAATAAACGCCAGAAAAAAATTAAATTGAGAGCTGAAATCAATAAAATAGAAACAAAGAGAACAATGTAAAGAATCAATGAAACAAATAGTTGGTTCTTTAAGAAAATCAACAAGATAGACAAGCCCTTATCCAAACTAATCAAAAGGCAAAGGGAGAGAGCATCCAAATTAACAAAATCAGAAATGGGAAGGGAGGGATAACAACAAATAATGAGGAAATCCAGGGAATCATCAGATCATACTTCAAAAACCTGTACTCCACAAAATTGGAAATCTGAAAGAAATGGACAATTTTCTGGATAGGTACCACATACCAAAGTTAAATCAAGACCAGATAAACTATTTATATAGACCAATAACCCATAAGGAATTAGAAACAGTCATTGAAAGTCTCCCAAACAAAAAAAGTCCAGGACCAGATGGTTTCAGCGCAGAATTCTACCAGATTTTCAAAGAAGAGTAGTACCAATACTCTTCTAAGTGTTCCACACAATAGTTACAGAAGGAACATTCCTAAACTCTTTTTATGAGGCTAAAGTTACCCTGATACCCAAACCACACAAGAATGCAACAAAGAAAAAGAATTACAGACCAATCTCCCTCATGAACATTGATGCAAAAATACTCAATAAAATATTGGCAAACCGACTCCAAGAATACACCAAAAAAAATTATCCACCATGATCAAGTAGACTTCATCCCAGGGATGCAAGGATGGTTCAACACACAAAAAAATCTGTCAATGTAATACACCATATAAACAAACTGAAAGAAAAAAAACCACATGATCATTTCATTAGATGCTGAAAAGGCCTTTGACAAAATCCAACACCCCTTCATGATAAAGGTCTTGGAGAGATCAAGAATACAAGGAACATGTCTAAACATAATAAAGGCAATTTACAGCAAGCTGACAGTCAACATCAAATTAAAAGGAGAGAAACTCAAAGCGATTCCACTAAAATAAGGAACAAGACAAGGCTATCTGCTCTCCCCATACTTATTCAATATAGTACTTGAAGTTCTAACTAGAGCAATAAGACAACAAAAAGAGATCAAGGGGATACAAATTAGAAAGGAAGAAGTCAAACTTTCACTATTTGCAGATGATATGATAGTATACATAAGTGACCCCAAAAATTCTACCAGGGAACTCCTACAGCTGACAAACACCTTCAGTAATGTGGCAGGATATAAGATTAACTAAAAAAACTGAGTAGCCATTCTATATACAAATGATAAATGGGATGAGCAAGACATCAGAGAAACATCACCCTTTACAATAGCCACAAATAATATAAACTATCTTGGGGTAACTCTAAGCAGGCGAAAGACCTGTATGAGAAGAACTTTAAGTCCCTGAAGAAAGAAATT